TCAGCGCTGCCTCATTAAGCACCTTGAGGGCATCCGTGTCCACTATGATCATACCGTCCGTGGCAGTGACTCGTCTATATACCAGTTCCACTACGGCGGCGATGGCCTAGATGTTACAAAGCAAAAACACCTCTACCAGTTCGAGTTCATTGCTCGGAACCAGATCACCCTTCTCAACCTTTACAAGCCTAAGAGCATCGCTGGTCATATCAACGACAGTGACGCCGTATCTTATATGAAGAAAACTCTGAAGAAATCAGAAGTACGTCCGGACAAGTACACGCCCGCCGAGCGAGAGAAGCGCGCTCCTGCCTTGGATGTGTATAGCCCTAGTCGATACCTTGGCAGCACATCAGAGAAGTTTGCGGGGGCATTGGCTCAGTACATCAACTCTAACCCTCATGGGTTACTGATGAACAAAGATAAGAAGGCGACGGACGGCCCCAAGATTAAGCGTCGGCATGAACCCATGAAAACCAGATATTTCAACTTGCTCATGAATATCAAGTATCTAAGAAGTTTGGTGGAACCTGGCGAAGCTGTTGGTTTGTTAGCGTCTCAGGGGTAAGTTTCCAGATCCCGTGCATGTCTCAATCCTTACATGTTCTAGCGTCGGAGAACCGTCAACTCAGATGACACTTAATACGTTCCATTTTGCAGGTCAGTTTTTGTTATAAAATTGCAAAGTGCTGGATATTCACACTTTTAATATAGGTCACGGAGCTGCCAACGTAACACTAGGTATTCCTCGGTTGCGGGAGATTGTGATGACAGCTTCACAAAAGCCTAAGACACCTTCGATGACTATGGAAGTTGCCCATGGCGTGTCCCAGTTGGACATTGACATCTTTTGCAAGCGAGCTAGCAAGTTGACGTTGTCTCAGCTGGTTGACAATGTGACAGTCAAAGAGCGTTTGACTGTACAGAGCGATGCGCGCCGGACCGAATTCGTTATAGAGATCGTCTTCTTCCCCGCGGAAGAATACACCGAGGAGTATGACATTCTACCCGAGGAAGTTCTTGCCGTGTTCGCAGCCAAATTTCCGTCAATACTCAAGAAGGAAATTCAGACGGAAATGAAGAAGCTCGACACAGATCTGAAGGGCCAGATAGCGCAGCTTGGGAAAGGGAAGGCATCCAAAGAACCTGTAGCTGGCGAGCCAGAGGCTGAAGATGGTGAGGGTGAGGGTGAAGGCCCAGGTCGTGGTAAGGATGACGATAGCCAGAGTGAACAAGGGGATGGTGATGCTGTTGACGCCAAGCGAGCTCGTCAGCAAAAGGAGCAGACATCCTACGAGTCTGACAATGACAGTGATAGGGATTACTTGGACGATGCCACTATCGAGGCGGCTTATGCCTCAGACGCGGAGGATGGCGAAGGCGAAGACAGCAACGACGACAAAATTGGTCGTCCGACGGCTATTCATGCCCAAACTCAAGTCGTAGCGGACGCCTTTATGAATATCTTTCATCAAGCAACTTCGTTCACGTTTACGAAGTCAAAATGTTCTATTCGGCTCGAGGTTCGTGTCATTTGTGCCTTACATTTTTTGCCATCAAACCATAAGTTTTCAGTTTCCCGCAGACTTCCCAAAAATTTTGTTGGTAGGCATAGTGGAGCGCACTTGTCTGAGAACTGTTATCCGGGAGATCCCTGGTATCACGGATTGCTTTAGTGCGGTTGTAAAGGAACGCGGAATGGAGAAGATACGAGTACGTCATTGTATGGTTCAACCTGAACTGGGAGCTGAAATTCGTCAACGTAGCTGACTACCAATGGATCTAACTTGCGGGGTATTTGGCAATTTACAGGCGCAACAGATGACAACATCATTGACCTGGATACTATCTACTCCAATGACATCTACTCCATTCTTAAAGCTTACGGCGTGGAGATGGCACGTGCTGCGATATTACGCGAGATTGGTGGAGTATTTGACGCCTACAAGATTGATGTTGATGGGAGGCATCTGGAGCTCATTGCAGATTATATGGTCAGACCTTTACTGGCTAGGCACGCACCTCACTTACTCACGAACCTATCAATGGCCAGACATTCGAAGGCGCCTACAAGCCATTCAATCGCAAGGGTCTTTCAAGTAATCCTTCGCCTCTTCTAAAGGCGTCGTACGAGACAACTGCTGCCTTCCTTTCAGACGCGACGTTGTATGGTGACTTTGATGACTTATCCACGCCATCAGGTAATCTGGTCATGGGACGTCCTAACCAAACGGGTACTGGTGTTTTTGATGTGGTGATGCTTGCGGAAGTTCCTGCTTGATACGTATTAGTGATCGAATTAACTGCGAGTGTGACATTATGTCACGTGTTGTTATGAAATCCGGCTGTTCGCGCGCCTCTGACTTGCCTCTGACACCCAGTTCCAACCACCTGCTATCAATCAAGTACATATATCGTTTCAGCATTGCCTGTTTTCGTTCGCTACAATGCCCATGATGACTTGTACTGGTCCTCTGCGAGAACTCCCACTTGCGCATTTTTTACCCAGCAGCGCTAATCCAGTTCCTATCATTGCTAAACCAGCTAAACGCCCTCTTTCGCCTTCAAAATCCACCATTTTTAGCCCGGCTAAGCGCCGCATTCTGCACTCAGAAGGCATCCTCCTACCTGGTGAAACTTCCCTGTCGTCATTGCCATTTCACATTCCATATTCTGCAAGTAATGTCGGAGCCTCCCACGATTCGTCAATAGCATTGACATCACCCGCACAATATGCTGGTGCCACCCAGGGGAGCTCAAGAGATAGACGAACGCCGAGGAGACCTTCGCCAAAGTTGATACGTTCAACCAATGCTGCGGGAGACACCTCGGCATCTGCACTTAGCCTCCGTCGCTCGTCTCGCCTGCAGTCATCCCAACGCAATGCTGAATCTGGCGCTGCCTCAACCGCAATTCTTCGCGAAATGCCACTGCCCCATGATCGTCAGTCAGTGCACTATCCTGGCTTTGACACGTATCAAGACACGCACACATCTCTTACACCATCGCGACGTACCAGTCCGTCTTCTGATAATGAAGACTCATGGCCTAGTAGTTCTGAAGAAGTTCTTTCTGAAAGGGAGATCACTAAGGAGAATATCCCTCCTCGAAAGAAAGCCAAGAAAGCCTCTTTGATACGGTCCTCTCTTCTGATAGACAAATCGTTTCGCTCAGATCGACCTACTACTCGAGGGGAATCCCGTCAACTTTCCGTTATCACAGCTAGCAGTTGTTGCACGGATGGGGTTATAACGCCCCGGGCGTCTTGAAGATAACCCGCGACAGCTACATGGGAGGGGGTTTGGGGAGGAACTTTTAAGCTTACGGGACAGTCTATTTGATTTACACAACCTATTTTCTCCTATCTTCCATCCGTCTTACTTGGTTGGCCCCATCTATCATTCACATGAGATCTCCAATGACTATCTACACATTGTCAGTTACATATATTTGATACTGTAACGCCGGTTGCTAGAACAACATGTGGTTCAACCCATGACCTTCGATTTGTCGGTTTAATTCAAGTCTAATTTGTTATGTTCTTTCTGACTAGGACTAGTAGACTAGTCGGTGGATAAACTTTTTGCCGTGACTTAAAGCGTACTAGATGCACGTGGCAATCGACACGTCTAACCTCTGGACAGCGAGACCACGAATCATCAATTCAATGACTATGCAACTGCGCAGCTTGATCTTACTTCTAGCAGCTTCCCTCCCGCTGGCGAGCGCGCAATTCAATTTCTTTGATCAGATGTTTGGACATTCCCAGCAGCAGCAGCAGCAACAGCAACAACAACCTGGACCTTCTGACAACTCCCAATGGATAGCGCATTCAGAAGCTCGTCAGTATCCATACCCACTTAATATACTACCTCTAGGAATCACTAACTCTTGATTCTTTCAGTCCCGTGTTCCCAATACCTGTGCCCAAGTACCCTGACGTGTGTCAAAAGACCGGCTGATTGTCCATGTCCCAATGCAGAGGACATCAAGTGTACTATCCCAGACGCTGTAGATACAGAAGCTGCAACGGTTATTTGCGTGAGGGGGGTGGAGGAGTGTGCACCAGTCGAACGGCTGACGAGATCATATTCAACGTGATGCATCGTCCGTGTGACTTGCTAAAATATATGGCGAGTGGCTGTTGAGTCCCATGTGCCGTCTCGAAGACAGAACCACTTACCTTATGATTCAGTATGCCCGTGTTTCCACACCGTTCTTTTAGGATCACAGGTTGACCAGCTGTTTCTCCTAGGGACACTATCATCTCGCATGCGTGTTCTTGCCGTAGGATTCCGATCGTCATACAAGAGCTATTTCCCTCGTACTTCAATTTCTATCCAGGACAGAAGAATTACACCTGCTCCGACCTCTGAGAAACTATCACTGTCGCGGGCAAACTACGTAATGAACATTATCACCTATTCGTAGTCAAGGTCAGATATACATCCTGTCTTTCAATAAGATTGAAAACTGTTCGTTACTTGACGGCGGAGGGCGTGCTCTCGTGGACATCTGCATCAGCTAGTAAACCAACTCCCAAAGCTCTTCCGATTATTTAAAACTTTTCGGTTGTCACAATACTCCTCTCAAGTTACCCACCTCCCATTGCTCATGCCTACCCCCCGACCCCCGAATACTGTCTGAGATTGCCTTGCAGCTCTCGAGGAAGTCGTCGCTTGGGGCGGTGAGCCGTAAACAAAAGACAATGTACCCCATCAGTCGAGGTCTAACTTGCTTCATTAATATTAAATAGAGAGGGGTGTCATCCCTTGATGAATTTCAGATTCAAGAAACAGTACTTTAGTCTAACTTTTATACGCGAGCTGAGGTTTCCAGACAATTGGCTAGTCGATAACCTGCGCTAAGCTCTTGTTTGAACTTTGTAACTCCGCGATGTGAACGCGCGTAATGGTTAACTATTTTTTATTGGCTGACTACGCAGATAATTAAACATCGACATATTACGTAATTATGAAGTTTGGTCAATACAAACCACCATGGCTGCCCCAAGACCGACTGTGAGCTGCATCGTAAAGTGACATCCATCAGTATAGCTGAACTCTTTGCAGTCAAAATTACCTCCAGGTGCCAATCGTATACTCTTCGTCAAAAACCTTAACTACCAGATTACTGGGGAAGATTTGTACGACCTCTTTGGACGGTATGGCAGCATCAGGCAGATACGCATAGGGGATGAGCAGAAGACGAAAGGAACTGCCTTTGTGGTATTTGATGATGTTATGGATGTACGTTTTTCCCTGTCCTGACAGGTTCGTTATATCTAATTCCCGCTGACGTAGGCCAAAAATGCTCTTGAACATCTGAATGGTTTCCATCTGCAAGAGCGATATATTGTTGTTTTGTATCACATGCCAGCGAAGCAGGACGCTGCTGCTGCTAAAGCCGATCTAGCCCGAAGAGAGGAAGAGCTAGCACAGTTGAAGAAGAAGCATAATATTGTGGATGATTGAGCCCGTCTTGAACTTATTGTTGCAAATTCGCGCTCACTCATGTGCTCAGCTCGTGTATTTTTATCACAATACGATAAATATGTCGGGTGATGTCGGTCTGTATCACATCCATTCGAGATGATGTCCACATACTCAGCCACGTATACTACATTTGGGGCACTTCTTGTCAATCTGTGGTGCTGAACGCAGCGAATTTCAGCATAGAGTCGGTGCAGTTGACTTGTTGACATACCATACTGCTGAGGGTATTGGCGACTATATCGTCAAGTTAGCGATGTCTGGAATTCAGCGATACGAAGACTTACTACTGCCAGCACACTTTAGTGCACTGCGGCGGTATACATGTTGGTGAATGCTTGGGGCTGAATTTGCAGTTTCTAAGGTCACACTTGATCTAGGCACTTGGTAAGATGGCGAACAAAAAAGTTACTTGCTTCTGACCTCTTCGTCGGGCTGCACAAGGTGATGTATTGGCTAAATTCAACACCTGTGAAGCTAACAAGAATCGTACCAGATTTATTGAGTGCCCGCAGCTATGAAGGAAGATGATGTCAAGTATTCTGACCATTAAATATGATCATACCCTTTGTAATAGTTGCGCACTCTGGACGACAGCGGGTCAATGACGGTGGCTGCAGCCGAACAAGTGGCTACCCACCTTCTCCAGTAACACATGATAATGATAATCGGGATGTGGTTCTGGAGCTATTCGATATGTATGTCTTTTATACCTGAAATCAGGGCCATTCTAACGAGATAATTCTCTCACCGTTTACACGACAAGTAAAATGAGGCCGACATGGGGAAGACCAAAAATCCATTCTCGGCATCCATTTAGTGGTGAAGACAAACAGCTATGAAAATGGCAATCCCGCAGTGGTCGCACGATTGATGAGTAAGGGATCAGAGCTCAAAACGAATATGTGCACCCTGACCCTTGTCGATACACATGTGATCTTACGACCTGCACCATATCGTCAATGTCACGCACATTATAGGACGACGGAATTTGATAATTCCATCAAGAAGTACGGATGATTGCGCGCGGAGGAGCCGGGACAGCATACCTTTTCTTCTTCTGCAGACGTGGGGCGAACTCAAAACGGCGTTCTTTCCCAGATAATGACCCACAATTCTTGCAGAAAAGGTTCAGTACCAAAACGTTGCTATAACCTAAGTTACCCCCTTTCGGCCCGGAGGCGACTAAGTGAGTACCTTTACGGCTTGACGTACTAGTCGGTGAACGTGGCTTTGAGCTGTCATGTTATCACCGATAGCGTCATGTCAACAGTGTCTCAAAATTAGTTATTGCGAATGCAACCCGCGCTCCCACCAACTCTATTATCCTCATCTTCCTTCCGAAGTGCAGCTCAGATCAACTTCTCCAAGATAAGCTTGATCCGCCAAATTTGCTCATGACATTGCAGTGTATTTGACCAACCTGTGCCGTGACTGCGGGGCTCCGGCCTTTTCGCAAATGCCGTGAGGCTTCCCCGGCGCTGAAACACTTTCATATCGGTTTGAGAAGTGTTGTCATCATTCACAGAAACCTTCCGGACTATCCAAAAACGAGCACTCAGTGAGCTGGTTAGCAGTCACGTAGTCATTATCAAGTATCTTCATGATCCGAAATTATTTGGGACAATCTAGGGGTTCTATTTCAAGCACTCTGCTCCACTGTTTGTTTGTATGTATACCCAATGTACCGACCTTCTATGGCGTTGTGGTGACTGGTCAAAAGGTGTAACATCCAACCAATACCCGACACATGGCATCCTGTGATGATTTATTGTGGCTATAGTGATTTACTCTGATATTTGCTAGTAGCGACGTGGTAATCTTGGCGCATGCGGGTCTGAAGAGGTCTAAGATCTTCTCGGCCGCACAATTCTCCAGAATATTCAAGATTGACATGTATAGCCGCACTAAAAATCAGTAAAATCCCTGTTTTTTTGTCACCCGCGCGGCTCACATTTTATTTCAGGCAACGCGTTCCAACAGTACGGGGACATGGGGGACCGTCCCCGCTCGAGCTCGGGTGTAAGTTGCAAAGTATATATGTCCCATGGACGTCCATCGCGGTTAGAGTACATGCTAATCACCATGCTTGAACCAATGCTTGGTCGCAAGATAGCGGTCGACTTGTGCCGGCACGGCCTCATGTCCATATTTTCTGGCTGCTTCGTCCATTAACTGATGCTTATTCAAGTTTACATAGCAAGTCAGTGGAATTTGATCATGTTGCCACATGATTCATAGATCCTCGGTGTCAATGATAGTTTCTCCCATCGGGCCAACGCCCGTTCGCTCTCAAGATGCTGATCTCGGCCTGCAAACGGTTCCCATAATTTTGAACCATTTCTCGCTGTGGCAGGTCAAACGTCATCGCGCGATTGTCGCACCGCATCCCTGCAATCTCCTGCGCGCTCAAAAAATGTTTCACTCACAATTCAACTCAGGAACGTGTTGATCCAACGGTTGGTGGTATAAATGGTATACGGCGGCTAACTGTTCCCTCTCAGGTGTGAAGAGGTGACTACATGGTCACCATGACTAGCATTTTATTTCGTCGTCGCCGACGGTCGGTCCCAAATAGTGGTCCGGTGGCTTTGTGTCGGCATGACATTGTCTTCGTGTCCATGTTTCTTGGCTGGTTCATCCGTTAACTGAAGGACATTGCTTATAGCAGTACTTGAAAAGTGGAAGTCGATTATGCCGCGCGCGATTAACTCCCCGATACCTCCCACAGGTCCTCTAAACGCGCGTTGAATCATTTTCAACTTGAGTCTAATCTTGGTATCTCAACAAATCTGATCTTCGATCGTCCTGTAATTTCTTGTGTCAGAACTTCAGAACGTCAAAGCATGCGATCATCGCATCGTCTCTCTGCAGTAGTTCCTAAGGTTCCATCGGGCTTGTCCCGTTTTCCTCACGTTTCACAATCAAAAGAGGGACCAGGAACCATGATAGAACTCGAACACAGTAGCGTTACTGACGCGGTACCCGCATAAGTTACCGTTTTATTACATAAAACCTCACGCCCTCACTCTCGTGCACAAAGACTGCATGAGATAGTCCAAGGCCATGCTACTAGTGTATGCTATCGAAGCCTCGATTGTTTTGAAATGATTCACCTAGACCACTGTTGACACTATCGCCCCTAGACACTGGTTCTATCTTGTTCTACACCGGCCGTCCTAGTGGACCGTAAGTACCTTTTCCAGACCTCGATACAATTTAAGGTCACAAGTGAAGGTATGGTGCGTTGGAGCCAGCAGTAATTGATCTTCTATCTCTTCAATTCATCATATTTGTCCGCACGAGTGCGTGAAATAAGTCATGCTGTTCATCTCTTCTACGCCACATTAGTTGGATCATGGGAAAAGCAGCACCTTCCACTTGGCATGCACGATTAGACTTGTACTGACATGCGCACTAAGCAGCGGCATGCTCCCAGTTCTCTGAATATGATTTCAAAGATGGCTCACTGGGAAGGCAAACAAATCTTGCCGTAGACGCCGCAACTATGAATCGATCTCCGCACTCAGCAGTAGAACTACTATGCACGTGCGACACATCACTAGCACTCACGGTGGGAATGTATATTATCAGACACACCATTATGAAGGACATGTGCCCTTGCCACCTACTCGAGACTACTCGTTGGAAAAATTTCAATGACGTGGTGCAAGCTCAGAGCAAATATCACCAAAAATATTCCAGACGGATGTTGTTATTGGCAAGCGGCGGGTACCGCACTTCTACATAATATTCAAGAAGACTAAGTACTCGGAATACTCCGTCATCAACTTTTACATCGGATATGACCAATGGATAGAAAAAAAATTAAACAAAGGGTGCACAGCGAAGAATGACAGCAAAGAACAAGGCAAGATTGAAAGGGGGCGGAAATAAATTAGAGTAAATATCACGTACTCCGGCGGCTGGAAACCCGCCGTGGTAACGGCGGGAAACATTAAACGGATCGGGCGGACGATAACAGTGGATTTTTATTACGTCAGCAAAGTGGCAATGATATAAACAAACGCCCACGTGATCTGCTTACACCGGTCCACGGCTCCAAGTACTGCACAGATAGACTAAGCCTTCAATCCATGCGATGCGGACGAGCGCATAACATTCCTCGGAACGGCGAAGAGTGTAAGCGATGGGAATGCCATGCATACAATGGTCGATATTCACATGAATTTGTACCCCAGAATCAAAGACAATATGGCCTTTTAGTGACGACCATACAAATTGGTGGGACACCAGTCAGTCAGATACAACCACAACTAAGGACGAATGCAAAAAAAAATAAAACGTCATAAAGTACAAATATGCAGACCATTGAATATCATCCAGGCTCAATGCAAGTAATAACTTGGCTGCGGTCTGCCGTATCACTCCTAAATAAGCTCCGCAGCATTGACCGGCATTTCGTCCTTGTGAATTGAATCATCAGTGAGGAAGACAGTGTGAAGCAACAGCTGAGGGGGCAACGTACAATTTGTGTGCTGTAAAATTGTTCTGGGGTAGAGTGAGTGATGAAGGTGACCAGGTAAAAATAACATACCAATGTCGCGCAGGATACGCACGTCGTCAACAGTCACGAACTAATGAATTACACATGAATTATCAAGCGGGTGTGACGGAGGACATGACGTACGTTGATAGCAACACCTTTCCGGCCAAAACGACCTGAGCGCCCAATGCGATGTATGTAATTCTCACGATTGCTGAGTGAGGCGGCGGATCAGTCAGTAGATTGAAAAAAAATCGAGGCAAAATTAATTACGCCGGGAGATCATAATTGATAACAAGGGAGACTTGTTGGACATCAATCCCTCGGGCCCAAACATCTGTCGTGATGAGCACGCGACTACAGTAGAGATCAGAACTTTTCCAGATTCAAGCGAGCCCAAAAAAAAATTACGCACGATGTGCCACCGCGGAATTCTGCCATGATAGCATCTCTTTCCTTCTGAACCATTTCACCG